GTTGCATGTTGCATGCTCAAGAGTAAGAAAACCTAAGAATTTATTATTCGTTGTTAAAAAGGGGGGGAAAAAAGAAATAGTAGTATAAAATTACATTTAAAAAAATATTAAATGGCGAAGTAGGGGTTTTGTAAAAGTATTTTTCAGACAAATCAGCTTATTCCAATTTCATCGATTGGGTTGTGAACTTGGACGAAACGTAGAGTGTGTAATTCTGGAGAAAAATGTTAGCGATAACTCCAACAATACTAAATATCGTGAGGATTTCACCAGGTGTCAGCGTGTTGGAAAGAAATTCTAGTACAACGAAAATAAGCATACAATAGAACAAGTTCTGAACATTCGGAAATGCAAAGAACGAAAAAGAATGTCGATAAGCATTGACACAATCTGGAGAGTTGACACAATCTGGAGATTTGATCTCGACAAGAGTTTGGTCAATATTGGATTCCAGGGAACTGAAGATTTTCTTACCACATGCAGCTGACCTGAATACTGGTACTCAAATGTTTCGCTTAATAATGTTTTTTTTTTATTTTATTTTTTTACCATAGTATTTCGCCAGGATTAAGTTGAGATAAATAATGGCCGAATAAGGGGTTCAGTTCGAAATTTCAATCACCTGAAGAAAGCCGGAGTGCACTACAGCCGAAACGTCGTGAACACGGCAATAAAGAAGAAGACAACAGTCCGAACAATGTAAATAATGTAAATAATTAAATACATCATCTCAGAAATATAGACAATCTTGTATTAGGTGGAAGAAGTTAACAAAATATGCCTTCATTTTTGAAGATTGATTGATTGGCTCATTTTTTACGACTTTTCAACCCATTGCAGGCTGCTTAATGCCAGAAAATATTTTAGATTGTGAGAATCTTTTTTATGAGATAATCATTTAGTGATACAAATCTTATTAATTAACCCATAGCTGGAGGAGAAGAGGTGAATTCATACTTTTCCCAAGGGTATTTATGCGTAAGTGCATATAACTAACTTAACTGGAATTGGAACTCTGCACCCCAAACTTAAACATAGGGTCACACAGTTTCCTGTGGCAAAGAACATTATTGGAGATCAGAATAATTCGTGCCATAGCATCTACAGAAAGAAGTGATATTTCAAGAATCTTTTTCTACGTGGTTTCAAATTTGAAGAATTATGACAGGCTTAGTTTAGCTTTCAAAAATGCTTTAATTAAAAATGCAGTATAAACACTAATTTATCATTGAGGGCAATACAAATTCAAAAGAATGCATAACTATCTTTTATAGATTATGCAAACACATTTGATATAGAACCTCACAAAGAACTGGCAGCAAACCGCCAGCATACGGATAGGAAATGATTTCAGTAGATACACAGAAATAAAAAGGTGTGTAAGACAAGGATGCGTCTTCTCGCCAGACATTTTCAACCTATACAACGACGCTATACTGGGGGAATTAGAAGCGCTACCAGGATTGATTATTGGCGGGCACAATCTTAACAAAATAAGATATGCAGATGACACAGTGTTTATACGGAAAGTAAATTACAAGACCAGAACGTACAAATCGAAAGCGAGGAGGAAAGACTAAACATCAATTACAAGAAGACTGAATTCATGGTTGTTAGCAAAAGGGGGCAGACCAACATGTAAATTACATAGTGGAGATACTGGAATCAAACAGTTGCAACGATTTAGATATCTGGGAAGTATCTTAACAATGCACGAAAAATGTTATAACGAAATCCGAAGGCAAATTGAAATAGCGAAACATGTCATCTAAAAGCTAAGCAAATTATTAAGAAACAGAAAAATATCATTAGAAATAAAGAAATGAATACTGAACAATTATATAATATAGGTCCTTCTATATTGATAATCTCGTGTCACAGAATTGAAGCAACAGAAATGAGGTTCTACTGAAAAATGCTGAGAATACTATGGACCGAACATATTAGCTACGACGAAGTTCTAAAGACAATGACAAAAACGGGCTACTTCTAGGACGCATAATGAGGAAATAAGGCTTGAAAAATTTGATACTCACAGGACAGATTAAAGGTCAAACAGACAGAGGAAGGCAACGCATAACTTACCTTGCGAGCTTGAGTGAATGGATGGCAAATCACAGTTCGGGAGAGATGGCAAAAAGATAAAATGTATTAAGTGCTACAAAGGACAAGAAATTGTGGAGAGCTATGATCGCCAGCGACCTGAAAAGACACGATAGATAGAAGAAGAAGAAGAACGTAGGCAAGACTAACCCAAGATAAAATTACAAATAGTTAAGTTTATTCTTTGAACGTCTATTGTCTCTAAGACTATTATCACTTGTCTCTAACGTCTTTTGTTACTTGTGATCTGGAGTGAACTCCAGACCACATCGCTAAAGATGATAAAAAGATGTTCGGCTTATTCTATCGTTCCAGAAAGTACCTGACTTCTTCTGTCAAGATTCTGATGAAACCAAAATTGAAGTCTCACTGGCATATCTGGGCTGGAGTGGCTCAATACTCTCTTTTCAACTTCAAAATATGTTCAAGATCGATTATGCGATCTCGTGGGGTTTGTCTTCTCAACTCAGAAGCCTCTTTCCCATAGTTACAAATTTATTGCTACTCTGACACCCCCTCTTTGTTAGTCACTTACAACATCATCATTTTATAAACCTGTGGCTTGAGTGGTTCTTGGGCCTTGTGTCAGATGAACAGTTGTTAAAAAGTAGACTTGAAGTGAAAATCTTGTATAAGATACTTCGGTAAAGTTGCTGAAAATAAACACTCCATGAAGTACCTGCTTGTATACCATACCTGTAAAAGAACCAAATCAGGCCGAAAAATGAGTCCTATGACAAAATGCGTTTTGTCGTTAAGTATTTCAAGGATGAAACGCATCACACGAAAGCATTTTTTTACACTTTCGTCTGAGATTTCCCAAATAATAATGATTTACTTATACAAGTCGTATTTAATCCATAAGAGGGGGATTCATACCTTTCTGAAGTGAAGATAATGAACCCGACTGGAATTGGAACTCGTCTCTCTGATTTCCAATTCTGAGTAGTTATCCATTACAACACCTGCACATCCAAGCTTCTAGCTCCTGTTTTTTTCCAAGCGGTTACTCATCAAGTTAATGACCAGGCTCGACGTTGCTTTTCTTCGGTGATCGTACCAGAACCGATATTTCAACGTGAAATGGCTGTAAACCTTATATATACATTAGTGCACACACACACACACACATATATATATATATATACAGTGTAACCCGGATATAAGAGAGTTGTCGGGACCGGAGAAAAGTCTCTTATATTCCGGGTTGGGTCTATTTTATATACATTAACACAGGCTCTAATTTGGGACCAGAGAAAATCTCTTATATCCAGGTTTCTCTTATATTCGGGTCTCTTATATCCGGGTTACACTGTATATATATATATATATATATATATATATATATATATATATATATATATATATATATATATAGTGGTTATACATATAATATCCAACGTCGATAGCACGACTCGGAATCGTGCTATCGACGTTGGATTTTATGTATAACCACTAATATATACTTAATAGCTCTGTTATTTAACATTGAGCACTGTTTTTATAACACCTACGAAACAAATATATACGTCCACGAATGTGTAAGTGTTTATATGTAAGTCTTTTATAATACTCATATGTGTGTGTCTGTGTGTATTTAATTTTCGTTAAAATAAAATGGAAGTATTATTAATAAAAAAAAGAAAAAGCCAACACTCAATCGCATCAACTATGAACACGGTCAAAATGTGCTGACGGTATTTGGAAAATAAATCAGTCGTATAACTCTATATACACACATTAAAACAATCTGTACAATCAGTTAAACGTAAAAAAATAAAATAATCCTTGATAATGGCTAAATGTATTGCCGAAAGTGCTCAGATATACAGCACATTCGGAACAATGGCTACATAATTTATTTCCAGAAAAGAAGAAAATTATAAGAACACAAGAAAAATGAAACAAAAAACTTTACTACGCTACCTGGTCAATTGTATTTTAATGAAACATGTATAAAAGAGGGATTGCTGCCCAACACACACACACACACACATATATATATATATATATATATATATATATATATATATATATATATATATATATGCATACATGTGTGTGTTGTTTGATAAAACAACTGGCAAGGTACTTCGGTTAAGTTTTTTATTTAACTTTTCTTGCGTTCTTATATTTTTTTATTTTACAAAGAAAAGTTCAATAAAAAACTTAATACCTTTCAGTCGTTTTTAACGAAACTTGTATGAAGGAGGATTTCTGGCCAAACAAATACACTATATATATATATATATATATATATATATATATATATATATATATATATATATATATATATATATATATATATATATATGTATATATATATAATTTACGGGGCCTTTCTAATTGCGGACACAAAGTTAATTTAGATAATTACCTCTAAAATACAAACGATGAGAAGTGTCTTAAAATACGACAACATATGAGTTTTTAAATTCGTTCTTATATTCTAATGAAATCGGAAACAGTTTTTTTCCCCCTCGGCTTTACATTGTTAATTTCTTTGCCTTTATGATACTTCGACAATCAGACGCCAACATAATTAGATTTCTTCAATATATGCAAATATATATACGCACAATCGTTTGGCGGTTTGTCTCCAGACGTTTAACAACGTTCATTTTTTTTTCTTTTCTCTTTTTTCCATGGCGGTTCATCGACCTCTTCCGTTTTCCTTCATACCTTTTTAATTATTAGTAATTTGTTTACTCATTGCTATCAAAAACGAAAACTTCTCTTAACTCTTATTATTAGGTGTTCACATGGAGTCTTTAAATATATTCCTCCAATTATTATTTTAAATGCAGATGGTGGGGGGTCCGTTTATGACTTAGAGAAACGATCCCCCATTTCATGCCCAGTAGAATCATTAATAAGAATTTATCCATGCTTCGGGCTTACGAACATAGCGCGTTGAAACACCGGCTCGCGTATGATCACCGTAGTTAAGCAACGTCGAGTCTGGTCTTTACCTCGATGGGTGACGGCTTGGGAATATCAGGTGCTGCAAACTCGGATGTGTGGGTGGTGTAATGGATAATGGCTCAGGAGAGTTAATTGGGGAGCAGAGTTCCAATTCCAGTTGAGTTACTTATTCACTTACACACAAATACCCTTGTGAAAAGTATGGATTCACCTCTTCTCCTCCTGCTATGGGTTAATTAGTAAGATTTGTATCACTAAATAATCATCTCATAAAAAAGATTCTCACAATCTAAAATATTTTCTGGCATTAAACAGCCTGCAATGGGTTGACAAGCCGTAAAAAATGAGCCAATCAATCAATCTTCAAAAATGAAGGCATATTTTGTTAACTCCTTACAACTAATACAAGATTGTCTATATTTCTGAGATGAGGTATTTAATTATTTACATTATTGTTCCGACTGTTGTCTTCATCTTTATTGCCGTGTTCACGACGTTTCGGCTGTTGTACGCTCCGGTTTTCTTCAGGTGATTGGAATTTCGAACTGAACCCTTTATTTCATCCACCGGGGTAGAATGTATTAACAAGATTCTTTTATGTATTTTTTTTTAAAATATATTTCTCCAGTGTTTGTCATGTAGTAATTCTGGTGGGGATCGGTTTATTGCTTCCCTTTTTCTGCCAGTAGAATCTCACATTAATAGGAGGGTACCCATGCCGTCATTTTGTAAATCTTTTTGTGTCAAAGCCAGCATAGAGCTATTTGTTCCTTCTTGGAAATAACAGATGATACTTCAGTCTTCTCCATGGTTCACACCAGCCTATTCTGCCACTTTATCCCACCGGAATCACTTTTTCCATCTATACCAGCGTGTCAGTTCCGATCACAATAGACAGCTTATTCTTGGCTGTACGTAATGAATGTAAACGTGTCCTCGAAGTCATGCATGTAACAACTTTGGCTTTTGTGATTACTGGCGGCTCTGTAAAAGTGTATTCAATAAGTGTAAGTTTTCTATTCCTCCCTTCTTCAATCAGTTTGAGGTGTTGACATCTGCTGATAAAGCTGAATGTTCAGCCCGTAAATTCTCTTTAACCTCCACTTGTGATTCATCTGGGCAATACTTGACTAACTTTCTACTTAGAACTAGTGGCCAGATTTAAGTGATGATGTGGTCACAGAAATTGTCTGAGAACTATGACTGGGTTCTCTGGTTTGTATAGTATGATACAGAGTGCTATTGCCAGACATAGTGTCTCCCAGCAGCCATTCTCTTGAGTCAGGGCAGCACTATTTCCTCTATGCACTTGATGTCGACCTCGGTGTTGAGTCTTGAGAAGGTGTAGGAAGATGGCTAGGGGCATAACGTCGCCATCACTAGTGATTATCCTAAGCAGCATGATGATGACTTGATATATCACCCAACTTTTTCCGAATCCTCTGCTGGGTCCTCAGATTGACACCGAAACACTCTGAAATGATCGTACTGAAGCTTCTGGTGCAAATGCCAATCAGTAAAGCATGGGGTTTCTAAATTTCTGACGGGGTAAATTGCATCATAGTGCTCTTTTTCTCATAAACAACACCCAAACTCTACTGTGCAGTCGAATAAAATAAAATAAAAAAACAAAAAACGTGTTTGCACGAAATTAAAAATATTAAATGGTAACAATTTACCCATCTTACACTGTATATATATATATATATATATATATATATATATATATATATATATATATATATATATATAGTATATTTGGTTTATTTATGCACTTATTTATAAGTATAAATATACATCGCACCCTATAATATATATATATATATATATATATATATATATATATATATATATATATATATATTCAAACATATTTGTTTAAATAATATCGTCTATTAATTTTTTATGCAGGTTTTTGTAATTTCTGAAAGTTTATGTTATCAGTAAGTTCATATTTATTTTTATTTTATTGTATTTTTTCAGAGTAATTTGAATGTTGCTACATAGGTTTTCAAGGATTTTTTGTCATTTCAGGATCTCTCTCTCTCTCTCTCTCTCTCTCTCTCTCTGTGTGTGTATGTGTGTGTGTTTTTATCTATATTTTTTAAACTAGATCCCTCATATATATATATATATATATATATATATATATATACATGAGGTATCTAGTTTAAAAAAATAAATAAATAATATTTTGAACGCTGAAATCTTACTCTTAAAACAGAGCTCAATACTAAAGTAGAGCCGTAAATATTTATTTATTATGCAGTGTTACATTACGACCCGCATCGTGATTCCCCACTTAATGAAACGTTAAAAACAATTTTTTGTTTTTTTAACGTTTGAAACAAGATGTACAGTTTTGTAGTGGGTATGTGCATGTTCTAATGTAACACTGCATAATATATATATATATATATATATATATATATATATATATATATATATATATATATATATATATATATGTGTGTGTGTGTGTGTGTTAAATATATGGTTTGCCACATCGTTGTCTAGCATGATCATCACAAGATATCATTCTAAAACTGAGTATAAATATTACATTCCTTGTTACAGTGTTTTTAACGACACCATACTGTTCTTTCCCTGTTTCCAATCTAATTTAACTCTGTTTATCCGAATTCGGATGATATCTTTCGTTATGCGACTTATTAAACTGATTGTTCGATAGAGATCGCATTCATTTGTACCAGGTTTCTTAGACAGCGCTATGACAATAAATCTACTAAAACCTTCCGGTTTATCACCACTGTCGTATATTTCATTAATTATTGGTGCAATTTTGTCCATGCCGACATCATCTACGGTCCCCACCTGCTGCCTTGTTCCCGTTCAATCTGCCCAGAGCTGTTATCAGTTCAGACTTTAATATGTCCTGTCCTTCCATATTTTGTATCTATTGTGAGTTTTCTCCTTTCGTGACGCAAGAGTTCTCCGATGTACGAGGTCTGATCAAAAAGTATCGGCACTGTTGCTATGTTATTGGCACAGAAAGGCCTTGAACTCTGTCGCGCAGACGCACTAAATTATAAAGTCCTTGCTCACTTCTGTTGTTTATGGCTTTGCTTGGAAGAAATGTGTGTAGAGTGTGGTCGTCTTACGACACCACAGAGGTTCATCAGTGACCATGGCTTGTGCGGCAGTTTTTGGCAAGGCGAAACATTCCCAAGTTCCGACAACCACCATATTCCCCAGATCTCGCTCCTTGCTACTTTTTACACATCAAAAATCAAATCCCACTTGAAAGGAACAAAATTTCAAAACGTCGAAGAAAACGACGAGGCAGCTGTTCGCTATCCCCCATCCCAAAAAAAAAGGTGTTGGTTAGATCCAGTGACAGGACCCAAAGCGTTGTGACTTCACTACGTGGCTAAGGCAGCGGAGAACTTAAAGAGGTGAATTAACAGGAGATAACTGATAAATGACATCCATTAGACATGGCACGTGGAACTAGAACAGTCTATCCCAGTGAGCGAAATGAAGGGTTCAGTTCTACATTCTAACCACCTGAAGAAGGCCGGAGCGTACAACGGCCAAAACGTCGTGATAAATACGGTAACAAAGATGAGGACAATAGTCCGAATGATGTAAATAGTGTACATAATGCCATATCTCAGAAATATAGACAGAACTGATATGTGTTACAGTCTTCTTTCAATATTACCAGTCCCGATACTTTTTGATCACACTTCTTATTCCTTTTATCTTCGAAGTATTCTTTTCATTCGCTGTTGTCAACGTTCTCTCCTTTGACTTCATTGCATCCTCTTATTGAGAACGTCCTTTGTCCTGTTAGCTTTTTTTTTCATGTATATCTGCCTTATCTGTGACGTTCATTCTTTCTTTTTTCCTCGCATATTTCATTGAGCCATTCCTCTTTTGCTTGCCTCACTTCTTTCAATAATGACCTGTATTCACACTTTTGAATGCTATTGTAATATTTTGTTAGAGTTGTCCACATATTTAATGATGCAACGGGAGAGTTTTCATAAGTATCGTATAGTTGATTGATTGATTGATTCGTTTTTTTACGGCCTATCAACTCTTTGCAAGTTTTTAAAGCCCGCAAAATATTATAGGTTGCAAGAGTTTTTTGTTGTTGTTTGGAGATAATAAGGATTTAGTGATACAAGTTTTACTAATTAACCCGTAGCCGGGGCGAGAAGAGGTGGATCAATACCTAAACTGAATTTGATAAGCAAACAAGAAACTGTCATGCGGATACAAAGTGGGGGGTCAATTATATATTACAACCAATATATAAAATGATACCTCAGTCTGTGTTTAATGTAGTTTATATAAATTTATATTTCTGAGAATGTGCGTCCTGAGTAAGACGATAAACTACTTCTGCGTCCTGGGTAATACGATAAACTACATCCAACAGCAAGGCTTCTGATCAGGAGCTTTTGAGAAGTGTGGAACCACCTCTTAATTGTTGGCGTTCCCAGGTCTACCCTGACCCGGGGTGGTAGTACCTGTTAAGGTCCCAGATACGGGCAAATAATTAACCCCCAAACTGGGGTCAAAACACTACGAAATTGTAAAAATAGGTTCTAATACCAGCAATACACTTTTGTTAAAATTATTACCAGCAATGAATTTTTGGAGAAAAATCATTACAAACAATACATTATTATTTGCAATACATTTTTGAAAAAAAAAAATATTACCAGCAATACATTTTTTTGTGGGGGGGGGGGGAATATTACTAACAATAAAAAATCTCGTCGGCATTAAATAACCCATTGAGGTTGATATACCGTAAAACAAACCAAACCAATTCTGAGAATGTAAATAAATCTAAAAGATATGCCTGTGTAGCTAATCATTATTTCATTGGTAGATTGATTCGTTTTCTGAAGCTTATCAACCATTTGAAAGTTATTTAAACCAGAAAATATTTTTAGATTGTAAGATTTTCTTTTGTTTGGGAGTAATAATGCTATAATGATAAAACTCTTACTATTTAACCCATAGCTGGGAGGAAAAGATATGAATTCGAACTCGGCTCACCGATTTCTCATTCCGAGCCGTTAACTATTTCACCACCCACACATCGAAG